CAAGTCTGCATACAGAAGGTTATCAGTCTTTGGGGAATTGGATTGCACAGAAATTCCTGAGAAAGAGGCAAAACCTCTAAGGAGATGGTCCATTTTCTCGTTCAAAAACCTGAGTTGGAGCAACACATGATTGAACGAATCCCTCAGGAGGTTGTAAAAGTGCAATATATCATTCTTCGCATGAGACTCCGCTTCACCCATTCCTATGACTGAAAGGTAGCTCTCACAACACTCGTATCTAACCACTCCCACCAGCTCTCACTCAGATTCAACTTCCGCCATGATCAGCCACTCCCAAGCACTCCACAATCCCACACTCTCCTCACTCTCCCACAATTCACTCAGCCAACTAAGACTAGACCAACACACTCTCTTACAGAGGGTGCAACCATATAGCAGCCTCTGCAACAACCAAAAAAGGCATACACAGGCATAAAATGGACTCACACCTGCATAAGTCACGAACAGGATGCCAGCTAAAGTGTGTTTAGTTTTATGGGAACCAATGACACTTTTTAGGTTTTGATGCAACAAAATATGGCTGCATCTTTTGACATTTCAACCATATGGTACTTTATGGCTTCATACTATTTTGCACCACTGTAGAAGAACTATTAATACGTGTACGAAATAAATAAATGTGTTTGTGTGATCTTGTTCTCTTAGATACATTGGTAAAGAATACAAGGATGAGAAAGAGCTTGTTCACCATTTTAGTGATGTGGAACGGCAAATGACTGCCCAGTACTATGTGACGGAATTCAACAAAAGACTCTACGAGCAAAAAATCCCAACCCAGATTTTTTACATCCCATCAGTAGTACTCTTGGTAAGGAAAAACTGAAAGCTGGAATGAATTCAGCTCATGCAATAAGTAGAAATAATATAAAAGAGAAATACTTTCCTCCTCAAAACTGTAAACTAAAATACTAAGGGCAAAAATGTTGTTGTTTGGATTACAAATCTCAGAATCCTCCCAAAATCTGTGAATTATGCTCAAAAAAGTAATGTATCAAACTCTGTCTCATTGTAGCTCTCTCTTTGTTCCTCAGTTACTAGAAGGCAAATCTATAAAGGGATGTGTAAGTGTGGAACCCTACATGCTGGGAGAATTTGTGAAGTTATCGAATAACACTAAAATAGTAAAACTGGAATACAAAGCCACAGAATATGGACTTGCTTATGGTCATTTCTGCTATGAATTTTCCCAAGGCACAGATGTGGTGGTTGATTTACAAGGTTTGTATGCAATGACACCAGATTGCAGTATTTTATTGCACTTTGAAGAGTTAACTTGAAAATGAACAGCAAAGTGAAACTACTTGCAAATGTAGCTTTTCTCCGTTTCTGTAGCTCAAAAATGTATCACAGTGTGAGAGTTGCCTCACTTTACTGATCCAAATTTTTGATAGCATAGTTACTTGGCAGTTTAAAAGTTAGTACAAGAAGTACTTCCTGTATTTTAGATATGATAGTCCATTCTTCCATAAACTTACCAGCCCTTTCCTTTATTATGTGTGCTTTTGAGCTTTTCTATTTTCATGCTAATAAGATTATTAAGCATCCCTTCTATTTCCGTTGATAAGTTGTGTGTATCATTATTTATGTAGCAAATGCTGTACCATCTATATATGTGAAAGAACTCCAAGGTTTGCAGAACTACAGAAAAACTTTAGGGGAAACAATTTGGGATCATAACCTATTGGGGATTATTACCTCTTAGGATCATAACCTATTGTGTAGCAGAGTTTGGGAAGTGTTCCTTTAGTTTATTGGGTAATGGATGATCACTGGGCATGTAAATATCTTGTTTCTATTCTATGCTCTCAGCATACAAAGATTCAAGCAGACTTTTTAAAAATAACATGTTTGTTTTACTCATAACTTCATGTATTTAAATACACATGCACATTTATTGTCAGGTTAAACTTTAAAACATTTCGGTTTGTATCTTTAACTTTATCCGTCTCTTTAAAACTATACTGCTCTGTACCGCTCTCTTTGATAACATACTTTGATAACATACTTTGATAACAAGGGACTCAAGCCTGATCTGTCTTCTAATTTCCTACACTGACTTCTGTACTCAAATTCACTCAAGCCTCAATTGTCATCCTTTAAACTGCATTCTAAACAGTCACTGAACCAGTCACATGGTCTGCAGCCCCTCCCACTGCCTCAAGTACATAGAGCTAAGAAAACTGCAAACCAAAGAAGACATATACTTCAGGAAATAAACAACACATTATAAACAGACAAAGAATTAAATAGAGGAGGCTTGAGAAGGTTGCTATTTCCAACAACTCCAGCTAGCAAGGCCAGTGTCCATGCAGCCTGAAGACTTCTGAGAGCTGCAGCCCAAAAAGTCCAAAAAGTAGATTTTTTAAAGTTATATCTAGACATAACTAGTGGAAATGTTACTCTTTCTATTACAGCCTATGCATGCTCTCAAAATCTAGTCCAGAAAATTGGGAAACTTAATCAGATATATGGATGGCACACCTGTTGTGCAATAGGAAGTACACACCTTCAGCACTGAATGGATGGAATGCATTAGATCTGTAAAAAAATATGTTAGTACCTCTTTTGTGAAAATTAAAAAAAACTATTTTTCTTTTTCAGGCTGGGTGACTGGTAATGGGAAAGGCCTCATTTATCTTACAGATCCTCAGATTCATTCTGTATCTCAGAAAGATGCATCTTGCCTGACAAACTTTGGAAAGAAAGGAATATACTATTTCTTCAACAGTCAGCACACAGAATGTAATGACATTTGTCACCACCTTTCTCTAACAAGACCATCAGTGGAAAAACTGAACTGAGCTTTGGCAAAATTAAGGTGGTTTTCCAAGAGACTCTTAAGTTAATACACAACAGTATTTTCTGCATCACAGTACCCAATCTAATCAAGTCACATTTTCAGTTTTCTTTGTGCAGTAGCAGCAATCCCATGAAGCACCATCTTTTTAATGCTACTTCTCCCCTGACATGGCCATGTGGAGAGTGGGATATAGGATCATAAAATCATAGAACCATAGTATTAGATGGCACTACAAGATACAGAATGGGGGACGCCTGGCTCGAGAGCAGTACGTGTGAAAAAGATCTTGGAGTCCTTGTGGACAACAAGTTAAACATGAGCCAACAATGTGATGTGGCGGCAAAAAAAGCCAATGGGATTTTGGCCTGCATCAATAGGAGCATAGTGTCTAGATCTAGGGAAGTCATGCTACCCCTCTATTCTGCCTTGGTTAGAACACACCTGGAATATTGTGTCCAATTCTGGGCACCACAATTCAAGAGAGATATTGACAAGCTGGAATGTGTCCAGAGGAGGGTGACTAAAATGATCAAGGGTCTGGAGAACAAGCCCTATGAGGAGCGGATTAAGGAGCTGGGCATGTTTAGCCTGAAGAAGAGAAGGCTGAGAGGAGATATGATAGCCATGTATAAATATGTGAGAGGAAGCCACAGGGCGGAGGGAGCAAGCTTGTTTTCTGCTTCCTTGGAGACTAGGACGCGGAACAATGGCTTCAAACTACAAGAGAGGAGATGAGGAGAGGAGAACATGAGGAAGAACTTCCTGACTGTGAGAGCCATTCAGCAGTGGAACTCTCTGCCCTGGAGCCTGGTGGAGGCTCCTTCTTTGGAAGCTTTCAAACAGAGGCTGGATGGCCATCTGTCAAGCGTGACAGATGCAACATGCAATATTCCTGCTTCTTGGCAGGGGGTTGGACTGGATGGCCCATGAGGTCTCTTCCAACTCTTTGATTCTATGATTCTAAGAACCAACCAATCCAACTTCCAACCATGCAAGAACACACAATCAAATCATCCCCGACAGTTGGCCATCCAGCTTCTGCTTTAAAAACTCCAGAAAAGGAGACTCCATCCCCCTCCCAGGCAACACATTCCACTGTTGAACAGTTCTTACTATCAGGAAATTCTTCCTAATGTTTAGGTTGAAAATATAGCTAAATCGCATGTAGTGGTGGGGCTTTAACCTTAGTTCTTATTCAAGGATAGCTAAGATATAAATATAATTAATAAGTGAATTGGCATAAATAAGGCAGTAAACATGTCTTCAGGTACAAGGTTCGACATATGGTCCAACTCTTCTTTTTCAACCATCATCATTATCTTGTCACCTCTTGTTCCTGTTTTATAGACTTCAGTTTAAATCTGCCACCTTCTGTAGATATGTTAAGAATACTAAGGGAGATTTCATTTTTGCTCTGCTCCACTAACTGTTGTCAGTCCTTTCCCTGGTCTTTTGGTGGTGGGCTTGCACTCACAAAGTGGAGAGGAGGGGATTATACTCTTGCTTCCAGCTATATAATATTTTCAGCCTGTTCCTGGTTTGACATCCATTCTCTTTGAATGTTTTGTGGAAAGGGTGCTGTCCACAGGCATCAGCAGAGCACGCCCTGAGTAAAAGCAGCTGCTGCTTTTCCTTTTTCTTTCACAAATTATGAAGCCATCTTTTGTGTTTTTAGATCAAAGCTTGTCATTCATGGATGTGACCTCCCTGGACTTTTGTCAGCTACCACCTGGAGAACTGGAAATAACCCAGAACGGAATTACCCTCATTCACTTTTCAAATATTCAAGGGAGGAGGGGATAGACTAATGTCACAGATTCCAGTGGTCTTCCAAGCCCAAAGCGCAGTGCCATGGGACTGTCACCTGCACAAGGATGATAGAAATGAATGGGACAGACACAAAAGCAACACCCCTTGCACAATCTCCATCTTTTATTTTTGCATTGGGGTTGGTGTAGAACAACTTTCCAGTGAGCTGTGCCTCTAATCCCACCTCCCACCCATTAAAAGCACTGTCAGTACCACTTTCCCCATGTTAAACAATGATGGGATCCCTGCTATAGACCAAACATCTGTTTCATACCACCCTGTCATTTGGCTTTCTTTTGAACAGATCTAAAGGCCATTTCACATGACCCTGGATTTATGCCAAAATGTGGCTTGGCAATGTGTAGACGACACTTGTGCAGAGAAATGGTTGCATGCCTGCTTCACTATGCACTTGGTTTCCCCAATGCTCCCCTCCCAACTTTGCTTTGTTGCTCTTACCCGTTTGGGATGGCATGGCATCATATGAACACAGAAGAAAACAAGAACTTCATTCAATATATTGCACCCCCTTAAGAGAGTTGCCATATGAATTCAATTAGCAAGCATAATGATCAACTCATATTTGAACACAAAAGTAATCACATTAGATGAGAATCTTAAATGGCATAGCACTAGTGATTTGCAAGGGTATGCATTATGGGATATTGTTTATATTGCTCTTTACAAAGATTATACGCATAATATATGCAGGTAATGTGGACTGCAAATGAAAAACACTAACACTACTATGGCTGAGATTCTACAATGGCTTGCATAATGTAAATCTACACTCACAGGTAAGTGGTGGTGGTGAAATATCACTGTTCTAAATACTAGCATGCTGGATTGCAGTATATCTGTGATATTCTGAACATGATGTATTAAAGAAATTAAGGATATTTTTGCAATGTGGGTTGCATATATTAAGAACCTCCACAAGAGTTTGATACTGACAGGATTTGGGTCTGTATGTTCTCAACATTCACAAACCACCAATTAAGACACCTATTTCAGTAGAACTCTTGGATCAACTGCATGGAGTATTATTACAATCAAGAGAATTCTCAAGTAGAGCTGTGTTGTTGTTTGCCTTCAAGTCATTTCTGACTTATGGCTACCCTAAGATGAACCTATCATGGGGTTTTCTTGGCAGAACTCATTCAGGGGTTTGCCCTTGCCTACTCTGGAGTTGAAAGAGCTGAAAACGTGTAACTCACCTATTGGGTTTCCATGACTGAGCAGTGATTTGAATGCTGGTCTCCCAGTGTTCAAATCCAGTCAAATCACTACACCATTCTGGCTCACATGCTCTGCAATCCAGAGTCAGAGTCATTTTTATGACCAACACCCTAAATGGGTAAATGAAACAACAAAATCCATGTACGAGTTGTGTTTTTAAGTCAGGAATACTTCACTGCCACAACCTTTATGTGTATATTCTTTCACTGAATTGGAAATTCGAATTTTGGCGAATCACTTCAGAATAACTAGAGTGCCACAAACAAGTATGAGAAATCATTTGCTTACCTGTCACCTCCTAAAATCAACATTTAGAATCACAGAGTTGGAAGAATCCACGAGGGTCATCAAATCCTACCCCCTGCTATGTAGGAGTACAAAACAGTCTTGTTGGATGACCTTTGAGCCTCTGTTAAAAGTATCTCAGCATTGGTGGATGCTGGCTCTGGTTTGGGGGTTAGAGAAACTGACCGGGATTTTGATATAATTTTTAAAGGAGTTGCCCAGTGCTGAACCTTTTTGTCATTACAGTTCATCTTAGATTGCTCCCCTGAAGTTCAGCTACATTCAGAATGGCTTTCCCTTTCTACTGACCTGGGAGCCACTGTTAACACTGATGTGCCATATTGGCAAAAAGGGAGTCCAAGACTACAGAAGAAGAGCTGCACATGTGGTGCCGTTATAAATTCAGATAGATGCCTGCAGTGTTTATGTCAAGCACTTGCATGCATGCATCATATGCCCATGTACATTGAGTGTGCATTGTGCAGCTTTGTTTTTCAGTTTGAACTGGATAATGCAATCAATGGGTAATGCCTCCCCTTTCCATGTGACTTAACTGAATATTTCCTAATACTTCTGGTCTTATTTATCCAGTGTGACTTCTTGCATCCTCGGTCATATGTTGCTCCCTTTAAAGCAGCGTTTCTCAACATGGGGGTCAGGACCTCTGAGGGGGTCATGAGGGGGGTGTCAGAAGGGTCACTGAAGACCATCAGAAAACACAGTCTTTTCTTTTGGTCATGGGGGTTCTGTGTGGGAAGTTTGACCCAATTCTATCATTGGTTGGGTACAGAATGCTCTTTGATTGTAGGTTAACTATAAATCACAGCAACTACAACTCCCAAATTTCAAGGTGTATTTTCCCCAAACTCCACCAGTGTTCACATTTGGGCATATTGAGGATTCATGCCAAGTTTGATCCAGATCCATCACTGTTTGAGTACACTGTGTTATCTGATTGTAGGTGAACTACAAGTCCATAACTCAAGGTCAATGCCACCAAAATCTTCCAGTACTTTCCGTTGGTCATAGGAGTTCTGTGTGCCAAGTTTGGTTCAATACCATCATTGGTGGAGTTCAGAATGCTCTTTGAATGTAGGTTAACTATAAATCCCAGCAACTACAACTCCCAAATGACAAAATCAACACACACACCCAACCCCACTGGTATTCAAATTTGGGCATATTAGGTATTTGTGCCAACTTTGGTCCAGTGAATGAAAATACATCCTGCATACCAGATATCTACATTATGATTCATAACAGTAGCAAAGTTACAGTTATGAAGTAGCAACAACAATAACTTTATGGTTGGGGGTCACCACAACATGAACTGTATTAAGGGGTCGTGGCATTAGGAAGGTTGAGAACCACTGCCTTAAGGTGACTTGGCTTTCATAACTGACGTAGTGGATCTGCTCTAGGCTTCATTCAAGATTTCAAATGTGCTGTCTAAAGTGCTGAACACCCCAAGGAAGCATTCATCTATTTTCACCCTGATGTTGACACCAGTAATTCCTTCAAAATTATCTTTACCTCTCTATCGCTCCCTTTTCAACCACAAATTTTTCCATTGTTATTTTTAACGGTATGCTATTACAACAAGAATGAAATGCTCTGCCACATAAGGGTGGGAAATGGATAAGCATATTTTGATCAGGGCCACTTTTACTTATTTAGTGGGTATTCTGAACTGAAAAATAATGGTAGCAACATTCCCCTCCCCTCCACCCTAAATGGCATGTATTTATCAGGCAACTGTAATTTCATAACAAAGTTTGGCTTAACCAAAAAACAAAACAAAACAAAAACTAGCTTTTGTTTCTGAAACTACAGGGAGCTCAGATGTTGTGTGGCTGTTTCTTCATGCTGTCATTGTTATCTTAGTAATGTTTATGCTGCATTGTTTGGGTACACAAATGCTCTGTCACAGTTCAGAGCCAGGGAAGAAATTAGGTGTAACGAGTAGAAAACTGGAGGGAGAAAAAGAAAAGGGAAAAATTAAATCTCTTTATTATGGTGCGTAAAATCTTCAGGGTTGGGAAGCTTTGCAGCTGCACAGG